ACCGAAATATTTAGGACCGAACCGGTCCGGACCGATTGGACCGAAAAAAATACATATTTTTTTAATTATTTTGATCAATTAAATATATTTTAGACTTTTTACTTTGTACCATTCAAATAGAAAATGAATAAAAAAAATATGCAACCTTAAAATGAATACACAATATGAACTATTTCAATGTAGAAACATAAAAACAAATATGAAATGTTTTTTTTTTAGATTTTTTAAAAAAGTACTTAATAAAAAACCTTTTTAATTAAATAAATTAAAATATCTATTAAAATAGAGCATTAAAGTGTAATACGGAACTTAAAAAGTAGAGTTTTAGTATTTAGGTCTTTTAGGTCCAGTAAGGTCATTAGGTCCAACCGGTCCAATCGGTCCGGACCTAAATCATTTCGGGTTTGGACCGGACCGGAACGAAACCCGAATGTCTAAATTTTCTGGACCGAAGACCGACCCGAAATCCATTCGGTCCGGGTTCGGTCTGGACCTAACGGTCCGGTTCGGTCGGTTTTTTCGGTCCGGACCTAAATGTGAACAGCCCTACCTACCACAATCTCTGAGTAGTTTATTGTTCAATTTGTTTTTCGATTCAAATTAGATAAATTTTAAATTTTAATTACTCTCAATTTGTATTATATTTTTTAAAATGAAATAACATTTTATAGATCTAATAAAATTATTTTTATACAAAGTAGGATAATTTAATCGATAGAGTGAATGTCAGAGTAGAAAAATATTGGTGATATGTGGTTACATTATTTCTTTAAAAATGTATCTACGATGTTGCATCGAGTCAATCGAGTAACGGAGTATTATTCGAGTCTCTTGATAATTTTTATTTATTTGTATGTTTTTTTGATTAATTGTAAAATAAACTATTTTTGTTATATTTTAATTTATAAATTTTTATATAGTTTTGAAATATGCCTTATTTTTACACAAAATAACAATTTGTGAATAAAATAATTTAAAAATAAATGAAACTTTTCATGTAATTCGAATGTTAGACGAATTACATCTCCACCACGTCAGCTTTAACTTACCTCACAAATCCACTGGAAATGGGTTTTTACATTTTAAATACACATCTTCTAAAATTAAATTAATAAAATTTAATTATTTAATTAAATTGAAACGATAATAATTTATTAAAAAATACATTCATTAAATTAGAAAAATTAAAGCGACAATAATTCATAAAGATTACATTCAATAAAAAAAATACATTAATAAAAAAACTAAGGAAAATTATATTTAGCCTTGATCTCTTTTAGTCTTCTCTCGAAAAACATACGTTTGAAACCCGATAACGTATCAAGGTTGGTTTCCATTATTTTGATCTCTTTCTTCTGTTGCCTTCGTTTCTCACTCTCTTCTTCTCTAATATTGAGCACTCGAAGTTGTTCAACCATTGCCCGACCGATATCGTCGTGAGAGGAAACAGAGCCGGATTCTCCTGAACCCAAGGCAATGGATTTTTCCTTCTTTTTTCCGATCGGCCGTGAATGGAGTCCTCGTCATTGGAATCGTCTACGTTGAAGGGAGGCCTTTGTTCGGACGAACCAATAGTGTCATCGACCTCAACCTCGGTCTTGGCGGAAGATCTTTTCTTTCAAGATCTAGCCTTGGGATTGTTGAGTTGTTGCCATTATGGTGAACGACTTAAAATTTTCCAAAGATCGATGTGCACCTTGCCATGGTGCTCGTCGTCTTGATACCAGGTCGTGGCAAGTTGGAGAACATCGGCGTCATTCGTCCCGCTCTTTCGGGACCGAGAGCATTCCTTGTAAATTCCGATAAACTCTTGGATTTTACGATTGATGTGGTCCCATTTGGAAGTGAGCTAGCCTCGGGTACGATACGAGCTGTCCTTGTTCATCACCGCAAAGAACATCTCATCGATATGTTCTCACATCGCATCCTTCGTTTGCCTCGAACCTTTAAAAATATATAATTGAAGGATTTTTTAAACACATACGGAGTATAAATTTTACCAATGCTAGGATGCTCCGAGACGTCAACCCAAGCCGACGGCAACAAGGATTCTTCCTCCGGCGTCCACTTTTGGATTGATTATGCCACCTTGGTCATCAGTTTGTCGCCTTTCACTTTGTGACTCTTCTGCACTTTGTTTGGTTCCCGTTGGTGCTACTGCTTCCGGTTGGGTCTCTAGAACCGACTATGGCTCATCGAGGTTCACCAATGTTTGTATTTCGAACAACGACGGATTATTCTCGTACACTTCCAACATCGACAGATTACTCTTGTACGCTCGAAAGAGCCACATCGCGTGCTCGTTGGGCTCGAGACTGTCGGGGGGAGAAGAACCGAAGGGATTCATGTTAACAAAAATTAAAAAAATTTGAAGAGATATGTGTGAATGAAATTGAAGATTGGAGAAAGATGTGAAGAAGATTGAAGATTCGGGTTTATATTTATAAAAAATTAAATTAAAGATTTTTTTGGGCTGTAACGGCTAAAATAGTAGTTTGGGGGTGGGAATCAACGCACAACATGCGTTAAACGTTTAACGTAGCTGGGATGACGCCGAGGTAACACCGAAGGGGGCGGTGTTTAACGCCAAGGAGGCGTCAAATGCCTGACGAATAGAAAGAAGAATTGGATGAAGCTTGATTAGGACTTTAAAAACTAGAGTTTAATTGGATCATTTTTAGAAGCACGAAAAGAGACTTATTTATGTTTCAATAAATAGTTACTTTTTGTTTTTTAAAACGAGTTACATTAGAAACCACCACTGAAAAATTAAGTGGTCGGGGAAAAAATTTCAGTGGCACTGAGCTTCAAACCTTACACATTAAACTTTTACTTTTTTTTAGATTGGGCGGTGCTGAGTTTCAAACTTATGACCTTTTAGTTAGAAGACTATCATACCATGTCAAGGAACCAACTCAACCAAAAGATCAAGCTTATGGTTGTGGTCTAGGAATAATTTTTATATACTCTAACACGCTCACTCATGTGCATGCATGACTTCTTTGAGCCTTACACGTGAAACCTTAATTAAGAAAACAAATTAACTACTAGAACATTTTAGAACCAACATCTGTTTTGTCATAGGTACAGGTCGGGCCGTAGAAGTTGCCAAGTAGGCATGTCAATGGTTCTGATCTAATTAGAATAAGTTCTGAGTAGATCTGTTTTAATCTGATCTGAATGCAATTACATTTAAAGTTGTTTCTAATTTGATATGATCTTATTCAAATAATAATAAATAATACGGAGTAAGTAATAAAAATAAGTAAAAGAGAATATACTTTAACTCTCTATTAAGACTTTGTTGGCATATTGAAAAATGAATTAATGTAGATATAAAATATGTCTATATTCATTCATATTCAATGCATCATGAAAGTTACAATAGATAACTTATACTTATGCATCAAGAAAGTTTTTCTTGTAAACTATTACGATCTCTCGATAAGACTTATTTATTTGCGTGTTTTCATTGATCATTTGATAACATAAAATATTCTTGTCATTTCTTATTTTCTAAAGTCTTCAACGTAGTTTTTAAACATAATTTTTTTATGTATTATTTCTTTACTAATTTACAAATAAAATGATTTTAAAAATCACAAGATTTTACACATTAATTAATGTAAGAAATTCTTTTTGAGACGAGTGAATATATAATTGAGACTAGAGAGGTTATTTATTATTCTTCAAAATACCCCTAACTTTTTTGTTTAAAAATCAAGAGAAGTAATTTATTGGATTACCTAGGAATTTCAAAATAATCTTGACCTCACATGGAATATTTCTTCCTAAATTTGCTTCATCGCTCATAGAGTAATGCTAGAATCACAAACTATTGGGACACAAATTACACAAACTTGCTATTTTTGTACTTTTCCAATTGAATAAAGTGATATTAAATGCTTACAAAATGAAAATTGAGATACATAAATAGCAAGTTTGTGTAATTTGTGTCCCAATAGTTTGTGACTCTAGCATTGCTCATATACTCATATCCAGAGCGACCCATATACTGTATATATAAACAAATTCAAAAAATCAAGACTCCATTTCTGCAATTTGTAAATACTCCCTGTCCAACAAGATTTGCCCT